TTTGAAGCTGCGTCATCTGCAGACAAGCGCAATGAAAAATTGCCGCCAGTGTCGCATGTGAGAAATCGCAGGGTATGCGTGGGGCTCAAATCTTACAGGCGGGTTTTCAATACGCAGCAGATGTCGATCATTACGGTCTCTAGTGTTCGGGTAATTGCTATCTATTGGCCGATCTGTTCGCACGTTGAGGCATGCCAGTCTTGGAGTGGATCGAAGGCAATAAAGATAAACTGATGAACTGATGTTGTCTGCTTGGTTGAACATGACCTGTCGATTGGACCGGAGCGACGCCGTGCAAATGCGTGAGTTTAGTCTAGAAGACAAATATCAAGAATTGGGGGGTGTTGAAAACAGGAAACTCGAAGACAAGCGCTCAAGAGCTTGGAAAATATTTGGACAAGCGATTAGCGTAGCAAGATGATGGAGAGCACAGGATTAGGGGGGATGAAAAGATAGGGATAAAAGGGAAGTTGGAACAGAACAAAGATGATGCAAAAGCGCAAAGGGAGTATAAAAATGGAATGGCCTGAGCTGTAGAACCCTCACTCCTATCCACCCTGCTCGATACATCAGATAAGGTGCGATTGGTTGTCTTTTGCGACGGCCAGAGCATCCGAGAGTTGTTTGCACAGAAATTCGTAGTTTTGCTTGGCTGTGTTACTGTCACTTTGGTTTAACCTAGACAGAAGCCCGGCTAGAGGTATTTGGTTAAAGGAACTTGACGATAATGCACCGCTTCTGGTACTGGAAAAGGAGGCAATCTTCTCTCCACTCCCCCCCCCCCGACCTGGAAGGCCAGGAGAATGTGTTTGTTTACTCTCTCACCATTGACAAATGTGGTATAGGTGGCTCTGAGGGTACAAAAGCCCTGCCAATCATAGCTAACTGGATCGTTGAGGCACGGAAACCATTGCACGACATTAGTGTTCATTCTTGCCGCGATGGTTGACGTTGAGCACTTATGCGCAACTGTGGATGAGCTATACCAACCTACTCTCTAACACGATGATAAGCAAGCGTGGTAAGGTAGCTTACAGCGTGTTTTGGACACGTTCTACGGCACATATAAGTAACGGTCACCCTTTTTCTTGTCTGAATCTCCGAATTGCTCTTAGCTACTTTTTACGCCGCTTGCGGACAGTTTGCCCAATAATACTGTGGAAACCGAATATCATTGTATCCCCTCATATCTTAACCATCGGCAGGAGATTGCATTCTCAAAGACTGTGAGTTAATGCAGAGATCTCCCCCACTGCAGTCCCCGTTTCAACATGGGAATGTTTCGGAGACAGCAAAATATTCCACGAAACACCTTTCTTACCTAAAAGAAAACTAATGATATCAATAGTATTCCGTTCAAGCTTCTAGTCCCCTTCGAAAAATTCAACACTATTTTCGTCAGGAGACCCGTCTGTTACAGAAATCAAGGGCTGGGTCTGTTCATTTAATGTTTTTTGTGAAGATACTTCTGTTAGGTTCAATGACATCCGTTATTTACTTAACTTACAGGTTTGTCAGAAAGAAAATACTATTAACCGTAACCGCATAGCAATCGGGAGGTCTAACGAGCACGCTATTTAGCACTTGCAACCACGTTTAGCCGCAACTAGGCTTAGACAGAATTACCTATTTGGGCCAGGTGGTAGCCGGACAGTGAATAACGGGTATGCTCTGTTATCTTCACCCTTTACTCTACGCTGAGTTGAATTTTCTATCCACTGAACATTGAACCGAGCTGTTACTCTCCTCGCCCACTTTGGAGTAGAATGTTGTTACTGCATGCTTATTGATAAGCCTGATGCGAATTGCTTTTGTGGTACTGCGGAAGCGTCACTCAACCTAGTTCAACTTATTACTAAGATACGCTGGTCATCTCCTTAGCATCTGGTCCCGATTTGTGGCTTCAGTACATGAATCCTGGTTGACTTATCTGTGCATGCCACAGTTCACCCATGCGCTTTTATCCAGCTGTCGTCATAGATAAGTTTTGGGTAGATGCGTTTTCCATGCTAGCATATTCAGTAGCCTCTTTGATGATAGTTTTTGCGGTCAATGAACCAGTCATCTAAACGCACTGATCGACCAATTCTGGTGACTACTTGGTAGTTGTAGTAATCGGTGTTCCATCCTCCAACTTCTATCACCCTGCACTTTGATAATGCTAAGCACAGGTCTTTACGCGCGGCGCTCTGCATCTGCGTGATAGGCGGTTGGTTGGAAATTATTGACAATACCTGTAGCTCAGGATGTGGATGAGAGGATTATTATGTTATCCGAGCTAGGCAATTTTGTTGCAGACGTTTCGTTTCCAATCTAGGCAACATCCTTATCGCGGTTATAGAGGTCTGATTTGCAAAGTCCCGTAAGCCACTGCCAGATCCAAGTGACTATTGATCGTCTCCTGCTTTGAATGTGTCTTCGATTGGCTCACGTGGGTCGGTCAAGTGGTAACGTCTATGCCCTGTCGATCTGGTACTCATTTTTGACCTCACCTGCAGAGCTCCGTAGACCTCTTCTAGTTCTAGATGGTAATCGAATGGGTTCTGGCCCGAATACCAGGCCTTGATGAACTCACGCGCTCTGCGGTTCTTTTCTCTTCCAAGTATCTTGGCGTTCCCCAGATCGAACTGATGGCCTTCGGCATCCATATGTACTGACATTAGTGATCTTTCATCATGGCGGCGATGGCCAGACTGTTCATGCAGTCTTGTTCCAAGTTTCCTCCCTGTCTGGCCCACCTAGTACTTGCCACAATTTTTGCTCAAAATTTTGTAAATCACACTTGTTGTTTCTTCTCTACTCAGTTGGTCTTTTGCTCTGAAAAGTTTACTCCGAATATTTTCCGTTGCTTCATGTGCAGCGTTGATCCCGTGAGCCATTAAAAGCGTCGCTGCCATCTCAGAAATCTCATAGATGTAAGGTAGGATAATTGTTTTCCGTTGCACTTGCGGAAGCGGATTGTGGTTGATTTTTCAACTTCAGGTAGCGTAGAATAAAACATTTAGGATACGAATTCCGCTGGAATATGTTAACTAAGTCGTGCTCCTCTACCTTTCTCAGCTGCAGCGTGCTACAGTGTGTTTGGGCCCGTTTGAAAAGTGTCCTCACGCAACTGCGCCTGGAATTGGCCGGATGGTTACGGCGCTAGTGTGAGATCTGATCAGTGTGCGTCACTTCTCGGTAGACTGTCGTTTCCAAGGGGCCGGAAGCATGTATTTTCACTAGCACGTCTAAGAATGGCAACTGGTCATTGTTCTACTTTTTGGTGAAATGGATGCCGGCGAAAATATTATTGAGCTGATGGTATGTTTCTTGTGGTCTGAAACGTTTGATGACGACAAAGGTATCGTCCACGCAACGTACACAAAGTTTGGGCTCCACCATCGGCAGCGCTTTTTTTTCCACTGCTTGCATCACTGTCTCGGCCACCAGTCCAGCGATTGGTGGACACATTGGCGTGCCCATTATCTGTTTGTACGTGTGACCATTGAAATTGAATTGTGTGGTGAGACAGCAATCAAGCAACTCCATCATTTGGGCGATTTCTATTCTGTTGTTCTAATTTGCCGTACCGTGTTGTTCAAGTAGGGTCATCATTGTCTGCCTTGCCAGCTTCGTGTCGATCGATGTGAACAAAGCTGTAACATCAAAAGATACCATCATCTCGTCTCTTCCTATCGTTATTCCATTGAGTTTTCCAAGCAATTTCTCTGTCGATTTGATTGCATGCTCTGCGATTAGGTATTGCAGCCGTTTCCGACTTGGAACCTACGTCGTCTGTGCTATAAAGTTACCAGTCACTGACCCGACAGGAATTATCGATATTCTCATTAGTTTCATCTGCACTTCGGGATCCCCCACAGTTACAACTCGTTAAATATACTTAATCAGTTAACATTCTATTGTTAAACACAGATTTCCGATCGACATTTTGCAAAGTGCTTGGAACCGATCGAGCACTTATGATTTCAGAAGAGTTTAAAAACAACCGGTTGGTATAGTTGGCGGGCAACGTTTCACACTCGATACCAAAAGTTCGTCGGGCCGAGGAAACCGGTGAATGATTGGTGTGGCACTTGTGAATTTCCTCGTTTTCCTGCTTTTTTACCTCTCAGATTTCTAATGCAATTTTTTGATAGCTTAATTCGGTCCCATTCGACATTTTTTGCTTCGGGGACTGAAGTGCAATAGACCTAATAACTTCATTGCGCCCACTATAACAGTAGAATCGTGCGAAACCGGTGCGCTGAAGGCAACTACTATCAAGAAGTCCATCGCATAATGGATCGATGCAAGAAGTATGAAACTAAGTGTTTTCGTGTTACCAATCCTCCGGATGTGTATCACATGTAATTTATACTTAGTGGAGCCAAGATTTCCAACCATCTCGTTACCTGGTCATCCTGTCACTGGTTCGGCCCCACTGTCAGGTTTTAGTCCCGCACTTTGGTCGTGCTACTTTTCTGTCTATTTCGGCTCAACTTGTCTTTCGTGTGCTTGTCTGCTTCTTCGTTGGCCACCAGTGACCAAAGGTTGTTCCATCCCACTTTAATACTCCGTCTACGTTTACTTAACCCAATCCAACTGATCGTACTTTTTTGACACATTGCCACTGTAATCGCCTTAATGATTTGCAAAATGCGGATTTTATTATCACACTTTTATGTTGCTCAATATTGCAATAATAATAATAATAATCTTAATAATAATAATAGTGCCATCTGTACTCTGTAACGGCGCTTCACTACCGCGCGACCACCACCAGTCGCACGCGGGCTGAGTATACCACGTTAGTTGACGTTTAAACCTCGTAGACCACTTCGTTTTTGGCATTTTCCCAGCGACAATCTGTTCAGCCCTCTGGATCAAAGGTTCGATGTAAAGTCCTTTGACGAAGCTCATCTCCTAAATAGTAGTTTAAATTTACCCTTTGCGTGCAGAATCCGTCACTAACTTCACTCTTTTTATCCCTTTTCAATCTTCAAAACACCATCTTCTGAATGTCACCCCACAAACCGTGTTCTGATTCGTTGCTTATACTGGCAAGTAAAATACCGCCGCACTCGGTCTCGTCGGTTGATAGATGACATTCGCTCTAATTCCTTTTGTGTTCTCTCTTTTCAGATCAGGCCATAACCCCTTCAAATCAACAATACAATTCAGCTACCATTAATAATATAATCGAATTGATCAACAAGGACCCAGGTGGAGCATCTGTTTCTTTGCGTCTAATCGCTCATAAGATCCAATCTCCGCAAGAGCGCGAAGCTTTGAATGCGCTGAAAGTTAGCTTTTCTGTTCCACCACAATTATTGTTGTGACTTTTTAGTTGTTAGAAGTGCTCGCGACTCATTGTGGCGCTAACTTCCAATCGGAACTCGGAAAGTTCAAGTTTTTAAATGAATTAATTAAGGTTTTATCTCCAAAGGTATGCTTATCTCGGCTCGTTTTCGCTTTTTTTTTAAAACCACCGATATTTGGAATTTTTGTGTTGATCACATCAAGTGTGCTGTTAGTACCCACGTGTACTGTTCCGTCTATACGGTGGTTCTCTATACTCATCTGTTTGTGAACTGTTGTCTTAAAAGTAAATGACGCCACTCCCTATTCTTGCTCTAGTATTAATAGTTACAGCCATTTCAATAAACTCTCTCATTTAGGAAATGGGCCACATCATTATTCCAAAACTCTCTCCCCTATCGGCAACGGTGAAATCTGAGTCGAAACTGCTCCCACACTAGTTCCCTCATCTATGCTTTTTGACTAACCCATCCTGCAAATCTATTTTTGTCCTTTTCCCTTAAATAACTGTTAACGTTTGACAGCTTAAGTCATGGCAACTTCTTCCACTGCATAATTATATATATATATATATATATATATATATATATATATATATATATATATATATTGCTGGCGTCATCCACAGCTCCAACCACACCCCATATCCAGTGTACACCCGAAGGAATAAGACCGGGAGGCATGTGGATGGGAGCCACGTTTCGTCAACGGAGCCGGCCCACACTCCTTCATAGGCAAACACAAGCACGCTATATTTAGGGAATCAGGCACACACAAGGCGATGGCTGGACCGTAGTCCGCTCCACACTGAGTGCATGGAACCACTCTTCGAGCCTAGCACGACCACAAGGACCGTGCACCCCGTACCCTCCAGCAACGACCAACTGTCTGCTGGAGCCAGTATAGGCAAGGTAGTGAGTATTAGACAGGTAGGCACCTTGTCAACTTGCACATCAAGCGCAGCCGCACCGGGGATGTCAAGCAACAGCCAATCACTTGAAGTGACAAAATCAGATAAGTAGATCGAAACAATACGGATATGCCATAACTCTTCGTTAAAGTAGCATAGGATACAAATGAGTTATCAACTAATCCGTGATAATTTCAAGATATCAGAACAAGGGATAAAAAATGCAACAAACGCGAAATATTAGTTTAGGCGACGTGTGCAAGGACATTAAAATGACGTAATAAAATAGGCATTACGATATAGCATAGACAATCATTTCGGCCTCTAACATCATCTACCAGTTCACTTGCAGTTGCGGTGACACTTACATAGGCAAGACTGGTCGCCGGCTGGCTCAAAGGGTGGGGGAACACTTCCTATTGTGGCTAAGGCAGTTGCTGCCTAACCAAGGCAGAACGGACCATTGAATGAACCGAAACCGTGCCTCGTCTATCACCAAACACCTCATGATGATTCGTCACCAGGTGAACCCAATCGATTCATTCAAGGTGCTATTGCGGAACAAGAACCCGACGTTGTTGGCAATTGGTGAGGCGCTACTGATAAGGTTGAATTGTCCCGTGCTCTGTGCCCAGAAACAATTAAGGCAATCAATTAGCTTACCTTGGACCTGATTACGTCATTCCCATCAATTTTATCTGCTTATCTATGTTACTAAGTGTGGACCCTATTTCTTGCGTCTTTTGTTCTGCCTGTATTGCGGAGCGACTGACGAGAGCAATCGAAATGTTAACATATCGCAACCTATGTCTTCTTACTGCGTTAATGAACGGAAGTAACTCAGCACGCAAGCACGCGGTTAGTAAATCGAACAGAAGCACTTGAAACGTAACTACCAACGCTGCGCCGGTTCTGCTTACGTTCTCAGCAGGACCCGTCGTCTTTTCGATGCTGGTCCCCAGTGGCCTCGTTCTTGGCTCACTAGACCTGCCTGACTCAGGCACTAGCGACCACCTGTGCTACAGCACTATGCGGTCGACGTCGATGAGGTACACTCCATCGGCGCCTGTCGCTTCTATACCTGCCGCTTCTTTTCCGCATGCATGAGGGCTTTCTTCTGCATCTCGGCAACTGCCTTCGTGATCAGATCTCGCCATGCACACCGATCCACTGCCATCGATTCCCAACACCTGAAATCAATATTAGAACATGATATGCTTACCTTGATCATGTCCTGGTAACGAAACTTCGGTTTCCCCACATGCCGCTTCCCCACATTCAGCTGACCATATGACAGCTGCTTCGGTATCTGCTTCGAATACATACGGCACACATAACCGACCCACCTCAGGTCTCTTGACAAAAGTATACAGTGTACTGCATACATTCCACTTCGGCGCAACACTGTGTCTGCAACTCTGTCGCACCAACTGATGAGTAGCATCTGTCGTAGACACTGTTGAGGAAGCCACTAGAGGTATCTCATATCTCGCCGGTACGTCGTCCACGTTTCGCTGCCGTATAGAAGAACGGACGGCACTACGGATTTGTAGACCATCAGTTTCGTGCCAACGGTATGCTGATATTTGTTCCACACTCGGTACTCAAGCTTCCCGAATTCCACCGCTGTCTTAGAGGCGCAGATACGAAGCTCACTGTGTAGCTGCTGGTCAGTCGACACCACACTCCCAATGTAGCAGAAGCGGGAGGTGGTTTCCAATACTTCAGCACCAATGCTGATTCGCGGCACCATTGTAGATTGCACCTCCGGTGAAGGCTAAAAGCGACAGAGTGTTTTGCTTGTGTTGATGGTGAGCCCGAATTTGGCCGCTGTCGAAGCCGGAGCACTAGTCATGTGTTGCAACTCCTCCGCGCTGTGTGCAAACAACACACAGTCGTCAGCAACATACGGATAGTTGTCTCACAGACTAGAGTTCTCGCACCGAAATGATGGATGTTCAGCAACCCACCATCAATATGGTGCTCCACAGGAACACCGTAAGCACAAGCGGCATCAAAAGCACAAGACATCACTGCATGAAGATAAATATTAAACAAGGCAGGAGCTAAGACACAGCCTTGCTTCACACCAGAGACAACTGCAAAGTCATCCGAGGTCTTTCCGCTCATCTGTACCCTCACCCGCATACCATTATGCGGACATTCGATTAAAATTACCAACTTACTCGCACCAGCCACAATGCCTAGCGGTTCACCACATTAAATGCTTTGGTGAAATCTACAAACAGCGAGTTAGTGTCTCTCTCTCTCTGCAGTTGATGAGCCGCGAACACCTATCGATGGTGCTGCGACCCGAATGGAATCCACACTTCCCTTCCTATGTTCGGCTCCACAACCTGACTGATGAGGCGGTTGAGTAGAATTCGAGCAATCACCTTCCCCGTACATTTCAGCAAGTTGATACCACGATAATTCATACAACTTTGCTTACTCTCTTTGCCCTTGTACACTAGTAGCACATGGGCATCCTTCAACTCAGGAGGCTTCTCCTCTTCAATCCTCTTCATCAATCAATGCGGTGCAGCGTATTCATCAACGCCGGTCGGCCGTGTTTCTATATTTCAGGCAGGATTCCGTCGGAACTGGCACGCTTGCCGTTTCGCAGCTGAGCAAGTGCTCTCTGCGTCTCATCCGGTGTCATTGTGTCCGCCAGACTCACTTTTAGCTCCTGGTGCTTCAGGCCGTTCAATGTAAGCCAGTCAATCTCTGAACGGTAGTTCAGGAGACAGTCAAAGTGTTTTCGCCAAATCTGCATTATGTCTGCAGTCTGTGTGTAGGTAGCGCCTTAACTACCATCGATCCGCATCCACAGCGGCTCCAACCTCGGTCCATACACCGCCTTCAAGAAGTAAAGAGATTCCTTGTGTTGGCGGCGTTCGACGTAGCATTCCATCTGCTTCGCCTACTCCGTCCGCCATGCATTTTTAATGCGAAGGAGCTTTCAACTCAGTCGCCGTCATAGTTTGTGAAACTGACTCTTCTTCCCAAGTCACTGGGGTCTGCAACATGTGCATCAAATGCTGCATTCTTACACATCAATGCGCCAATCGTCGCATTGTTCTCATCAAACCAATCAGACCGCTTACAGTTTGCGCACCCGATGGTCTCCTCGACAGCAGCTGTCACCTGGTTACGAATATGGTGTACAGCTCGTCCACTATGCCTATGCATTCCACATCACACAGTCATGCAGCCATCGACTTCTTCAGCTCCATTCTCTGTTCCACAGTTGCTATGGAAATAATGTTATATTTCCACTGGTTCACGTCAGGAGTGCAATACATAGATTTACGAAAATATATGTACAGTTTGGTCCGCACCAACATGTGATCAGTGCCACACTCAGCTCCACGCAGTACACGTGTCATGCGCATTTCACGCATATCACGCTGACGTACGATGACAGTCGAGCAGGTGAGTGTAATCACTCCGTGATTGCGTCCAAGTTGTTATATCCCTCGCGCTCAGTGCAAACCGAGTGTTCGTGATCGTCAGACCGTGAGTGGCACACAGTGAGAGCAGCCTGTTACCGTTCGCATTCGCTGAACCATTGCCATGCGGACCGATGACATCTGTCCACACCAATTAATTACGCCCAACGCGCACGTTGGGATCACTTAGCAGAAATAGTCGGTCGCTCCTCAGCACAGATCATATCACATAGGATAACTGAGTATATAACTGATCAAGCGTATCATCACGATACCACGTGGTCGGACCGTACGTGCTCATAAAAGTGTCAAACTCACCTCTTCCGAGACCTAGGCGAACAGTCATCAGTCGCGCGCTGATGTTAGTTTACCCATCAGGTAGCCATTTAGCCGATCGGATAGTGCATATCCGGCCGCATGTTCACGCGATGCTGAGGTGGCATTTCCCACCCAGTGAAACGTATAGCTGTCACCAGCTTCATGCAACTTGCTCAATGAGCCGGGTCTTGCTGAGCGCCGCAGTATGTATGTTAGCGCGCTAGTTCCATCGCGACCATTGCAGTGCGTCGCTCTGGGCGTTCACTTGTATTCCGGTCCAGTATTGCGCGCACGTTCCAGCACCCTTTGTTGAGCGACTTTCGCGGAGGCATACGATTGCGTTGACGGGCAAACATATGGGTGGTAACGACCTCCATTGGAGGAAAAAGTGCGCTAGGTGAAACGGGGATGGGGGGACTATGTGCAGAAAATGAAGAAGAAGAAGAAGTGAAGCGTCAGCAGTGGCATGTTTTCACTTATCCGCCCCGCTGCATACGGACGATAAGGCGACTCTTTTCCGGGTGCCACTGCGCGAAGGCCGATGCGGCATGTATTTCTTAGTATTGGCGTAATTTTTGTTTCGGGGGATCGGACTAGGATACTGCCTGGGCGTTCACACCTGACAGGGGAACGACTTGGGTCCTCAGCTCAAGCCTTCGATAAAGTATACACCCGAAATGCAGCGGGCCGAGCGCCATGAGTTAGTGAACCGATTCACTCGGAATTGTGTCCACATCCATGTTGTAGCGCGCCAGTTCCATCGCGACCAGTACAGTGCGTCGCTCGGGGCGCTCACTGGATTTCCGGTCCAGTAGTGTGCGCACGTTCCAGCACCCGATGTTGAGTGCTTTGCGCGCACGCATACGATTGCATTGGTGAGCAATCGCACGCGAGGTGCTGGTTGTGCTTCGGAGCTTTGCTTGTGGGACTCCAATCGGAGCTTCTGCCTCAATAGCCTGACCCACAAGGCAGTGGGTGATTTGGTGGTTTGCTTGAGGGACCGTCCGGAGCCTGTCGCTGCGGTCTCCTTTAGATAGTCACAGGATGTCTGCGCCTACCGAGTGACTATGAGGGGCTTGCGCTGCATAACCCACAGCTCTATCCACGCACCATTTTTCCAGTGTAAACCCGGAGTAATAAGGACGGGAGGCATGTGGATAAGATTCACGTTTCATCAACCTAGTTTGCCCACACTCCTTCAACAAGCAGAGTAGATGCATACATGCCTAGTTTGGGGAGTCATGCGTACCAGATGTACACATAGGAGTGGCTGGACCTAAGCCCGTTCCACACTGGTGCATGGAACCACTCTTTGAGCCCAGTACGGCTACGAAGACCATGCACCCCGTCCCCTCGAGCAACAGTCTCCTGGAGCCAGTATAGGCGGCGTGGTGGGTATTAGATCGGTAAGCACCTTGTCATCATTCACATCAAATGCAATCGCACCGGGGATGTGAATCAACAGCCAACACCTGAAATGCAAGAATCTTAACACACAGGCACATGTACAGACCAACTACAACGACGATGCGGCACACATACCACATTAACCGCATCATTTACCTGGGTTAGTAAATTGAATCTGAATCAGCGAACTTACCTAGCGGCGCGCTGATGATGACCACATTTTGCATGCTCTTCTCTTACATCTTGGCTCAACGGGGCGACACTGGTGGTTTGCCAAATCCGTCTGCCTGAGGCACTCGTTGCCGAGCCTTGCCTTCGATGTCATTGTTCTTGGGCTGGAGCAAGGTCCGGGTATGTTGGCAGCTGAACAACAAAGGGAGTCTCCTGAACAGTGTGATAACATGAATAATGAGTCAAGCTGTGGCAACCAAAGCCGGCAATTCGCGTCATACGCGCGGAACTTGGTAAAGATACACGTCAACGAAGCCAGAATTCTGATGTAGACACAAGGATGAGGTGTTACCCCGGTGCTGCTGGTCCCACCGAAATTGAGAAAAAAGTTGATTATCTATTGTTACGAGATGGCTCACCCTCGGCCGGTAGTCTGCACGCCTGACTTGCAATCATAAGGTCACTGCTTTGAATCCGCGTAAAGGCGGGCGTCCTCGCGATATACTCTGCCCATACACGACTGGTGGTGATTGCGCGGTAGCGAAGCACCGTTACGGCGTACAGCGGACGATTTATTTCTTTTATTTAGACAGCGTGTTTACTGTCCGGGGATGAAAAAGGCAATCGATACATACATGCTCTCCTCTCAGCTCTTGAAGGGAGACAATTGATTCACACCACAACCCTTGCTCTAGATTCCATTGTCCCAGATTGGTGGGTTGTGGCCAGTGGAGGCGATGGGGTCGTCCCAGTTAACAAGACGGGGCAATCAGTAAATATTCTTGATGACCGTGCAGTTCACCTGTTGGATTGAAGCTTTGGCAAGTCCGGACCCACGAACTGGCATCACAACACATGCGTGATGAAATCTGTGCTATCGAGCCAAGGAATTCCGAGGGCCATACTGACTGATCAGGGCTCGTGTTTTGAAGGTGATGAGTTCCTGACATCTTTGGAGCATCTGGACATCAAGAAGATACGAACCACTCCATACCATCCCCGGACAAACCGATTTATGGAGAATAATAATAGGACAAGTAAAGAATGGATGGCAACCAAGAGGATTGGAAAGTAGTTTTGCCACTGCTCTTGCGTCCAGGCAAACAAGCACTAAATGATCCCCATTCCAGTTAATGTACGCTCGCAAACGGCGGCTCCCTGTGTATCTGGAAGTGAGAGTGACTAAACTGTCTGCTACCGCCAAGTGAGTCACGGAACAACAGAAATATGAGGGAAGCTCAAGGTCTGATGATGTAAAATTTTCGACTAAATATGAGAAAACGGTCCGGAGATTTTCTAACGTACGACTGCATGTGGCCAATGAGAGAGGAAACTTCTACCGACTGACTGTATGATGTAATCGGTCGACAAAGGTCCGTATATACGATCGCTCGAAAGGGCGATAGGCGGCGACTTCACACTAACGAATTGAAGAAGTGGTACGAACGAAGAGAATAAACTACGGCATACGTGGACCGGTCTCGAAGCTCGGAAGGACTACGTGTTTGATCGACGGCCGCTGAAACTTTGGGGCGGGAAGTGTAGTGCACTACTGACCAGCAGTATATGTAAAAGCGGGCAGTTGTGAGGAATTTAGAGAGTTATTGATCGCTGCCAATGAAAGACGCATAGTATATGAAAGTGCGCAGCGGAACGGAGAGTAAGAACGGTATCACAATTGAAGTGTGCAAATGGACCCGGCTTTCTATTTTCGTACTGTTATGTTAGTTGGACGTGGATTCTTTAATACACAACTCGTCTGTACGGCGTTGCGTTTTACTCAATCTTGGTGACTTCCGTATTATGAGGTTGCTTCTGCATTTGCGCGCATAAGGCAGCACTCCTGGGCACCGGTACAAGCTTGTGGAACCGGGCCTGAAGGGGTTGTTCACCCTCTATACTTTGAACATCGTGTTGTGAAATATTGGAACAGTTTGACCGAGCAAATAGTCAAAGCGAAATCACTGACGGAATTCAATAAATTCCCAGACGCCCACTTTGATGCTTACAGGTTTCGAGATCGCATCGCACCTGAGTAGGACTCCGTCGCACAGCTGAATTGCGTTGACAGTACGCGGTAACAAATGGTATTATTCCGCGTGCATGCGCGATAATATATCGATGGAGCGACACAGATGTTTGTCTTCTAGCTCCCTATCTTCAGTATTCATAAGATGCAGAGGTAGATTTGCACTTGCTTTCTAGACCTCATCCTAATCATCCACACAAAAGTCTGACCAACAAGTCAGTGAAAAACGGACCTGTCACTGATGTGTATACTCTTGGAATTCGTCAATTATGTACTTGACCTCTGACAATTTGTATAAATTTGTCGACCCTATTATGTTGATACATCCACCATCACGGTCGATTACCTCTGAGTTTAAGTTGATTTGCATACTATTACTCGGAAGTTTTTTTGGATCGATGGGGCTTGTGGCTCAACAGTGGTTACCAATTGTGTTGTTCCATCATGGTCGATCTCTGCCTCTCATGCTCTACGACAGTTGAGCTTAGATTGGGTTCGATGCACCGTTTCTTTTCATAACTCTTTTTATAGGAAGCATGCTATTCACAAGGAATTATAAAAAAATATTTATTTCCCCATGGGCCTTATACTGGGGCTGTTTTACTCTATAAACATTGACTTTCATGGTGTATCGTTGAGAAGCGAGTGTCACCAACTGCTTACGCTTCGAATACCATGGTTGTGTCTTGACAGATGGTCATCTGGATTCCCATATTCAAATTGAATCGGCACTGAGTCCGCTGTTATTTCTACCGGAGCTGTACTGCTTGACACTTTTTTCAAATGCTTTCATTCTGTCCTGGTTCGATTAAATGCTTGATCAGTAATAGCACATTTTCTTTTCGCCGTCTAATGGAGAAGGAAAGGATGAAGAAAACCTCTAGTATATTTATCCTCTGTGAAGATCTGTTTCTTACGCTTTAGCTAATGTGGTTTTCTAAGCCCAATCACTTCATATCCCGTGCAACTATAATGAGATATTGTCATTTACCAGTAGCTGACTACAGGCTATATTTGGTTAATATTTGCTTGAAGTTATCCAGGTAGTAGTACTTGTTGTTGTTGTTGCTGCTGCTGATGTTGTTGTAGCTTGTGTGCCGCTACTTTTGATTTACGTCATAAACCATGCCCACGGAGACGTATGAAGGCCAGTTTCCACGATGATTTTGTATCACTATGCATTTCGCATTACCGTTTTTAGTGTACCTGTAATTGATGTCCATCCAAGTCATTGCGCAGCTTGGATTAGCTATGTCTCACAAACTACGTCGTTTATGTATACATCGGTTAGTATTTATGCGACTAGATCGGTCCGTGTTGTCTTGTCCAGGTTACCTATAATTTTTCATTTTCTCCGCAGCATCTCGGTGACCAGACCACGGAAGCAGTGAAACTGGGATGCGCTCGTCTCCTCTATCAATGGCATCGTGATTATTCGGCGAAGGAGCCTAAATTCTCGGAAGCCTACAACATGCTATGTGAACAAAGGTTGATCAACCCCGAATCTCTAGCACTGAATGGATCAGATTCGAAAGTATGCTGCTATTTGTTCACACTTCAGTCCTCTGTGATACTTTTGCGACCATTCTTGGTGTGTTTTTGAGCATTTACTGTGTGAATGGATTGCGATCCACAACGTCGATTCGGACTAAAATGAGCCGCGGTCAATTCGATCGTTGGGACCTTGTCTGAGGCAAATGAATGTGAAGTGCGTTCAGCCCCCAACTCCACGACCGGTAGTCGTTACTGAGCAGACAATCGCATCCGGGACTTATAATTTATCAGATTACGTGATTTTATCTGAGCTCTGCGCGCGATGCTTATCGCCGCTGTTATTAACCGATTGTCGGTTTACTTGGGGCACCAGTTTTTTGAACCGCGATTGCAATCGAAACTGTTTGTCGCAATCTATCTTCGCAGTAGGATTTTAGATGTTTGCTAATAAACTCGTGCGGATTATTGATTCAGGTCACTTTAGCGATGCGGCTTTGACCGTTACGACGATACTTGATTTTGACGCGATGCATTAACCTACGTATGTCTGTGTTCTATGGTTTGTGCCAAGTGGCACTTTCCAGTTATCTTCAGGTCCACTCAAACCCGGCAGATCATTAGCTAGGATTAAGAAAAGATTTGTCACCGCATCCTTATTGGAAGCTGTGGAGATAGCGCGGTCCCCTCCTCACCGGATGAGAGCACACTGTTTGCTATGTTACTACTTAAATCCATTCTTTGGCTTGAGACTTTACAGGACATGGCTCGCAACCGACACCAGTGGCGCGTCTGCTGCCGTCTCCTAATCGGATTGTCTGTTTAAAGTGTGTTTGGTGCTGAGTTATCTGCGGGGTAATGGCTGATTATGACGCGTGGCAGTGAAAGCCGCAAGGAAGCTGTCTCGCCGATGCCGCCTTATTTTTGCACGATAGCCAGCTGTTTGTGACGGAATGTTGTCTACACAAGGTGTAGGCGCCTTGACCCTGAATGTTTGCTTAGGGCATTAAGGTTTTCAGGTAAGTCCCCCTTCTCTCCCACTTATTATTCTTTATTTTATAGGTCCTCATGGTTGTATGGCAGCGAAGCATCAGTTCAAATGGCTGATGTACTGCTGTTGATGCTGATGATGATGATTCTTTGGTGGTTAGGGTGCAAACCTGCCAAAACTCATGTAGTCGCCTGTTGTCGCTGATATATGATCCACTGCCGTCGTAAGACATGTGACTCGTTATGAGTATTCCAAGCCTATGTAGCCATTAGCCATTAGATTTCGCAATCGTGATCAATCGATGAACCTTCTCACTGCCTTGTGATTTAGCTAATTAAATCAGAACTCGATGTGGGTGCCTTCGAACAAAGACTTTCGAAATGAGCAGCCGGTGATTGTCATGAACCCACATGACTTCTCATCATCCCTCCTCAGGTTGGTCTGTAAGAGGCCACCACAGACTACAGCCAAACCCGATGGTCTAGCTAAGTCATGCTTCAACTCAAGGGCTTCGTTTCACGACAGTTCCTTCAGTGTTCACACTAGTTAATATGCTGGTTATCTGCAAGTTAATGGCTGGTTATGACTCATTTCATTCAAAGCCCCAAGGAATCTCTCTCGCTGATGCCGCTTTATTTTTGCACGATAGCTGTTTGTGACGACATGTTGACATAGTGTATCCGCCTTGGCCCTGAATGTTTGCTTAGGGTATTAAGGCTTTCCGATAAGTCCCCCTTCTCTCCCTTTTATTATGCTTCGTTCCGTAGGTCATTATAGTTGTATGGCAGCGAAGCATCCGTTCAAATGGCTGATGTGTTGTTGTTGTTGTTGTTGTTGTTGTTGTTGTTGTTGTTGTTGTTGTTGTTGTTGTTGTTGTTGTTGTTGTTGTTGTTGTTGTTGTTGTTATAATATTGGTTAGCAGGCAGCGTCACATCTCACTGTTCAGTCACCTAAAATTGATAGATGCTGGTCTCCTAATCATGCATTAAGATGCTCCCATTCTAACAGCTTATCGGCTATTTGGTCCAGATCCCGTTAACGATGACAGTGTCCATCACGTCTCCGCCGATATCGGGTCTATGACTCAGGATCTTTGCGGTTTCGGTGATGCTATGAGCAGAAACACTGAAAGTAGAGTACTTGTATCCATCCTGGTGGACAACCGCGTGCGTACAGCTTGACTGTGAGTCCCCATGGGGGTTATTAGACCCCTGTGCCTGGTTCGGAGGTTACAGTGAACTGGATCATTGGTAGATTGGGAGAACTCATAAAGTAGAAAGCTGGTGCCATTGGAAGCACCCGGAATCTGTTCCGTCTGATTCTACACGCGGATCAGAGGAAGGTCGTTATGGTTGAGAACATGGCTGAAAAAACGGACGATAACCCCCATCCCAACTACATCGTGTTGAATTCTGGTTTGATCAGTTTTAAAAGCACCTCGGTGTGTCAGAGCTGTTAGTGGACTCATCTGAATTCACATCCCTCACGAACTATTCGATCCTTCAAGAACTTACACTACCCGAGCGGAAAAACCATCTGACTATGATAACCTTGTTACTGAATGAAAACTGGCTGGCTACTGTTCTATCTACTCCGTTCGACTCCATTTCGCACCCACATCGAATGTTCTCTGACTGGCCATCACTAACTTTATTACCAAAACCGTTGAGGACGCGGCACGTAACCGCCACTAGTGGTCTATTCACTAGCGTCTTCCTCTTGGACTGTTTATTTGACGTGCTTGTGGCGTCGACTTATCTGTTAACTAAGTTCGCTTATAGTGCGGAGCACTGGAGGCTGCGAGGGGAGATATTTCAATGGTGCTGCTTTATCGTTTCGCTACAGGAGACCACGTGTTACTGAGCGGTTTTAGTAAAATATATGGGTATCTGGCTCTCCACCTAAGTTCCATGTTCACTGCTCTCCTCTTTTCTTTAGTCGTCTCTGTTAAATCCTAGTTGATTAGAGGCTAGCCACCAGTACAGCACACGAAACTACTCTTGTTATCCTCCTTGATTGACCATGGACGCATTGTTTGCATGTTGCAGTGCATTCTATTATTCTTTGGAGCCGAGACTTAGAAGATTTGCATCGCCGACACTACGAAGCGAATTGGTGTTAAGCAGCTGCGGTTACTGAGCACTACTCATTTCTGGTTGTGGAACTCAAATCGCGATCTATCAGATGGTGTTTTGTAGCAGACCTCATGGAGTTGCACTTGGGCTTCTGTTAAACGCAAACAACTTACATTGATTTGGTCATTGGTTTCACCTGTTCGCCATCCGCACGCTTCAATGTAGATTGTGCCACAGCGCTGCACCAATTTGAGTGAAATTTGCTAGACAAAATCTAACAACTGTTGCAGAGCCCCAGTCATTTCGAACTGGCCACACAAAGCACAATTGAAAAACCAGTACTGCTTTCGCTTACTTAATCCCAACTATTCGCAATCAGTTTCAGATGGCGGGGTAGGATAAACGACTGCGGATCCGTCTGGTCCGCTTTCCTTGACTCAGACTATGCTCTTGTCTGTGCGAACATCTGCATGAGTTCCGGAGGGTCCCCGTTCAGCAGTGCTATCAAGCTTCCCTGGCCAGTACACTCGGTTGCGACTCACCGCAAGACATGGTTGAACACTGGATGTTCATGCAGAGGACCATACTCTCTTCCAGGCAGTTAGTCTGTGGTCTTACTCAGCACCCTATGAAGGTCTGGCTCTTTACGTGCTCTTTGGATCTATTTGACCGCTACAAACATATCCCTGCGGAGTCTAATCATGGTGAAGTGCGCCGTTTTGTCAGTCGGCAGCTTAAACGAAGCCTACACAGTGACCACGAAGCCTTGTGGTCTCAGCGTGCTTCGGAACTGGAGGCCGTCACCCTCTCTGGCAATACTTGCAAGTTCTTTTAGCTCATTCGGTACACTGGCCACAGAAACCCTGGTTTCAGTGAACTGTTTGCAAAGCGGATGGTTCGCCGATTGCCAACTTACAGAGACGCTTGTATTGATAGGCCGAACATTTTCATTCCCAGTTCCACTGGCCGACACCGTCCTCTTCTATGCCTTGCGAACCTAGCTGGTCACCCTGGGTCATCACGCTTGATCCGTCCAGTGAAGCGGAAGTTTGTCTTGCGATTCGACACCTGAGACGATTCAAGACTGCCGCCTCAGATGGACTTCCTTCGGAGCTGTTCAAGTATGCAAGCGCAGTTATCGTCAACCAGCTAACCTCATTGTTTTCCAAAATCTGGCATGAAGTAAAGGTACCTTCTTCTCGATTTTTAAGTAGGGTGCTCGCACTTCATGCACCAATCCCTGGAGGATTAGTCTCATTTCGTTTGCCTCAAAGGTACTGGTATCCATTTTATTCCGTAGACTATCTCCCATTCATGAATCGCAGTACCGCGAACAACAAACTGGTTTCCTACCTGGCCGCGGGTGTATGGATCAGATATTCACACTCCGTCACTCCGCCACTTTTATCAGAAGCCTGTCATCTTTGTATTCCTAGACATCTGTGCTGCATTCGACTCGGTTGATCGACCTGCACTATGACGTTGTTTGCTGAAGATCGAGGTCCCAGTAAAGTACACTGCTACGCTACATGCACTCTACCTCCAGATCTCCAGCAGAGGATGATCTATGGCAAGCTTTCGTCGTCCCTTGCTGTCACTAGCAGTGTGCGTCCCCGTTCCTGTTGTGATTGAAGACGTCCTGTCGAGAGCTCTAAACGCTTAATAATATTTGGTCTGCATCGACTACCGGACAAGCGGGCGACCGACTTAGAGTATGCCGATGATATCGCCTTACTCGGGGACGACTCACAGAGCATGCAAACCATTCCAGACCTTTTGCCGCTTGAGGCATCTAGGTACGGAATGTGCTTTGCCGCGTCAATGTGTAATGTGCTGCTTCAGGTTTGTTACTCACCCGTTCCCGTGCTCACTATTGAAGGTACACAGCTTGAACAAGTGGATGGCTTTGTCTACCTGGGTAGCTGTGTGTCTGCTGGTGGTACCTTTGGAAAAGACGTTTACTTTCGCATCGCCAAA